GCCTTTCTTCAATATCCACAATTCTTGTTGGAATCTAAACCTCATCAGACACTAATAGCTGTTCAAATTCTACTTTACTTTTGTCTGTGATCTTTCTCCATTCTTCTTGTGGAGAGAAGGAAGGGTTAAGTCCACAACCTCACAGAGGAGTAATAGTTCTGCCCAAAAGACAAGTCACAACCAAACTATTTAATTGTAAACGTCTCACTGAAGAATTGGTACACGAATGAGACATGACTTCATCCCTTAACCTACATCCTTCACTGGTCTAGGGAACCCTGGTGGGTTTGGCCCATTTTAGTCATAGTTGTCATGGGAGATCCATAATGACTTAGTAAAGTAGCTTTAAAAAAATTTTCATGCAGAATCCAGCATATGGTATATTTATTGGCAAATGTTAATCTCCCTAGGAACATGTTCTGCAGTAACAAATGATGAATTATGTGGCTTCATAAGCACTCATGTCATTAAATGCACCACTGACCTTTTTACATTTTCTGGGGGATTTTCTGCTGTGTGCAGTTTCTCTGGTTTGGAAGTGAAGCTGTTTAACACCATGTTTTGAAGGAAACAGGTAATCAATAATTTCAGTTTTGGTTACTGTAAAAGGTAAATGAGACCTGTGTATTTGTTGGGCAAGTAAGCAATACAGGGTTTAACAAAGCTTAAACAGGGCCTAGGAGAGAATATTTGCATTACAAGGACACAAAATACACTGCATTTACAGAGGAAGTTAAGTGTAGGCCAAAAAGGCCAGTGTCAAAACTCACTGTGTTTAACACAAATACTGCCAGAGTTAAAAAAAAAAAAAAAAAATATATATATATATATATATATATATATTTTCAAGCACGTGTTCTGAAGGCAAGAAGCTAAACTGAGAAAATACTTTGCTCCACTGAACAAGTCTGATATGAATTTTCACAGGATATAGCCACAAAGTAGCCTGCAGTTAGCAGCCAGCAACCAAGAGGATGAACTCCCATTGCAGTTAATCTGAGAGATTTTCTGAATCTGGATTGATTGCCTGGATCCTGTGGTTATAATTTTGTCATTGGACTTGTTTGGAGGTGGAAACTCTAGGAACTGTACTGAGAATAGAGAAGGCCTGCCTGAAATTACCAGATTGAGAAAGGGAGATGAGGATCAGCATGCAGCCATGTCTGGCCGATCTCAAAATTTGAGACTAATCTGCCCAAAAGAACAGTGTCTGAACCACCATTACAGTAAAATAAGTTTTCTGCTGAAACTAGAGCACCTTTTCCAGCAGAATGGTTTTCCAAAACTAATATTTTAGGATCTGATAGAAAGAAGCAGCTATTACAATGAGTATGGAACACACACAGATCTGTGTATACAGCATACAGTCAGTGCTGCACATAGGAACCCACTGGCTGCAGCACAAAAAGAGATTTGACAACCAATGCTTCCTTTTTCTTATTGGCCATAGACCATGTTAGATTCAAAACTAAACTCTTTGTTGAGCCAACTGATGAATTTGAGTTCTTCTGTTCTTGACTTAATCAATACTACAGTCTGCTTCACCCAGCAAGAGCTGGTATCAGGTAAAGCAGTCCCCATGGGAGAAATTGAATCTTTATTTGGCAAGGTGCATCAGCTGCTGAGTGAATCAAAGGAATCCATAGCTGCAGTGGTTATGTAGTTGGTTTTGGTCCTGGCTTCTCCCTATTGCTCTGCCTGACAGCTGGGATGAACTATCAGAATACTGTTGCATGCGCCCAGCTGTGGACAGACAGATAGTTGTTGGAAAGACTGTTTATCCCTGTGACTGAATCTGTAGAAGGCATGTAAGTAAATTGCAAGTCACTTGTGTAGTAGATACCAGCACAATTCTGAGGAATGACTAATATTATTTTACCATGTGTTGCAGTACATGCCACTAAAATCTGTGCTAGGAATTGTATAAGAGCGAGTTGCTGGCTGGACCACCACCACCACTGTTACTTTCTTCTAATGTAAATCATATGGGTCTTTTCTCCAGGGCTTGTCTGGGCTGCACCATGCTTCACTGTAGAAGCTAAACGGATTGCAAGTGGAGCTGAGCTAGAAGTGCCACCTTCTCCATTTTTGTTGAAGACTGATCATAACCACATAAAGCTGTCCAGAAAGCTGTGCACTTCTGCAGCTCCACTGCTATCTTATTCCTCAGGACACCCTTACAGATCCACAGGGAATATTCACCAGAGATCTGTCAACCACGTGTCTTATCCCTGGTCAATCACCTCTCTTACCCTCAGGCCCCAAGGCAAGTAGATGTTTTGTCAGCACCACAGCAAAAAATCCTTGAAGTACCACTAACCCAAGAACTATGAGGCAAACAAAGTCAACCAGCACAGGCACACTGGAAAACACAGTAATTTAAGCAGACTGAATCGCCTTGGGCTGGGGTTGCCAAGAGAATTTTTGGGCCATGAGAACATTTATACACGCTGGGCCTGGGCTGCTTTCTCCATCCCATCTTGACTTCCAGCCCTAATTGATTGGAACTGCCAAGCCTGGCTGCCAAGCAGAATATTTTTACAATCCTGGTTCTATTTATGCACTGACAAATACAAAACTTGGTGTCAGAAAAGAAACTGTGAAGCAGAACTGCAGAAAAAGAAGGGAGTTGACAGAGAGAAGTATGAAATGATGATGAACAAGGCACTGAAGGGTAGTGCCACATGTTAGTACTGTGCCTGGTGCTAGCGAGTGCGGAGACCACTTCAAGAAACATGCCTATATAGTTCTCTGAAACACCCTTTGGCAAGATGTTTTATTTTGAAATGTGCACTGGCCTCTGCTGGAGATGAACTTGCTTTTCTGCTTTGAATCTGGTTCAGAGAAAAATGACACTCAAATTTATCACTTCTATCAGAGCATTTTAAATAATGGAACCAAACCTATTACAAAATGAAAACCACAACAGATCTCAGTAGAAGCAGTATGTTAATACTGTCCATGACAGAAAAGGAAACATGTTTTGGAAAAAAGCCTTCTTCTTTCTCAGGCAGCAAGACAGTCTTTTTAGCCATGAAGGAAAAGGTGGTGTCATGGTTTGATTTCTTCTCCTAGCCAGAAGAATTGGTGCATGTTCACTAGTTATAGAGGAATCAGTTTGGAGTACCACAATTTTCTTAAGGCTGTTTTTACCCAATAGCTGACAACCCACATATTTATTACAACTAAGCCAATCTAAAACATCTTTTCTCCTGCATTACTACCTTAAAATGACACAAGAATAGTAACAACTTCTGTCACAACATCTTCTCAACTCTGTTTCTGCTTATGCAATGACTGAAAGACTTCACAAGCTTGTTTGTCATACTTTTAGTCAGATGGGGCTGTCTCTCTGGTTACGCTTGCTGTACTTTTATGACTGCATCAGGCTGAAGTAGCACACTTGGTAAAACCCAGAGAATATCTGGAGTGGCCCCTAGGAGATAGAGGTGAGGGTATTCTGTAATGTGATGGTTTTTCTTCATCTGAGTTCAAATCCTCTCTGCTTTTACTCTTTTGCTATATGGTATGATGAACTTTTAATTCCTGTCAGTATCTGAGCCTCCTACACCAATGACTGCAGCTGCTGATCAAAGAGTAAAAGTGAAAAGAGGGTACATTTCCAATATTTGGTAAGACCTTACCTGAAACTTTTCTGTGGGTTTCCTAACTACAGCCATGAGCAATGAGATGCCCATGCAGACACTGAAAACAGATAAACTTATCAAAGGACATAACTGATCGAGGAGGTTCAATAGGAAGCTGTGTTACTCCTTGAGTAAATATGGCTGCCATCACAACACTAAAGGTAGATTGGCCCAGAATTGGTTTAGTGTGGTAAGATCAGTGTCCCTTGTCATGCATTAAGTAGGTGACTTGATCTTTTGTGTGATCCACCAGGAGTGTTTTATAAGCAGAACTGCCATATAGTAATTTGTCACTTCAGGACTGGGAAGATGACTGCTGAGTTCTGCCCTTCAGTCTGCCTCCAGTTATGAAAATTGATTGTGTATTGATTGTTTGGTATATTGACTTATTGCTAACATCATAAACAAGGACAGCAAAACTGCCTTCTTTTTCATAGCTAAGAAAAGGGATTTCCAACACGTGAAGAGTGCCCTACGTGTTTTCATAGTCAGGCTTTTGTAGCAGCAGTTATGAAGGGGGAGAAAAAATGCCCAGCCATCTCATATGACGGAACATCAGTCTGAGCACGGCCAGGTAGGTAGCTGCGGCACAGGAGGTTAAAATATCCTGTGAGGTGACCTTATCACCTTTTTCTTCTCACTCAGCCACGCTGGAAAGAAGAGATGCCAAATCTTCCTTCTGGCATCCATCCCCCAGCAGATGAGACGCGAGCGTCCAGCTTCGGTCCCCAAGCAGCGCCGCCGGCCGTGCGCTGGCAGCTCGTTTGCGCAGTGAAAGCAGCAGAGGGCGCTCTCGGCCCGCGGAGAGGCGCGGCGCGGCGCGGCGGCGGCCGGGAGCCGCCGGACCCTTCTCGCTCGCCGCCCTCTTTGGCCCCTGCCAGCGGCGGCCGGGCGAAGCGGAGGAAGGAAATAGAATTTTCAAGTGCTGTCCTGAGTTACAGGGTGCGCTGGAGCTTTTCTGCCGTCGGAGGTAGCGTGTTTGTCCTGTGCAAAAGTAAAATTAGGCTTAGCAACCCAGGAGATGGGTTACTGTGAGCAGCTGTCTTTTTCTGTGTCTCCCCTCCATCCTCCTTCTCTGCAGCAGGCAATCTGAGAAAATGCCTTTCCCCATCATGCCCAGTGACTTGTGCAAAAACATCTGGTGGTTTCACCACGTTTACTAAGGTATAGTTGGTCTTGCATGTTTTTGGAATCTGCAGGCCTCAAAGAGAAAATAAGAGAAATGCAATGAGATTTAATTGCTTCCTATGTATCTAGGAAAACCGTCTTCAAATGGTGTAGTTTTCTAAGTCTTAGTATGATTTTTTCCAGGAAAATAATTTGTTTACAACATCAGAAATCAAGAGTTTGAAATGAGGACTCTCCAGAATACTTGTCCTTTACTTATCAAATGTACTGAATGAAAATTATAAAAATTATACAGGAAGAGCTTTCTCTGAAAAGGCAGTATTTTTTTAATCATACATAGAATCAAAGGAAAGGCAGTGAAGAATTAATTTATCACTCATCATTATAATTAATTTTATCTCTTAGTCTGATTCTACAGCACAGCATTAATACCAACAGGATAGTGCACAGAAGCATTGTAGAGGAAACCACTGTAATACCTAGTCTTAAAGTACAATTGTGATTACAGCCATCACTGCAGAACAGTTTGTTTCAGTAAATATAGTTTCCTGAGATTTCATGTTCTCTACAGGAATAAACGAGTGAAGAGGTGTTATGTATAATTCAAACTTGTTCCATTTGTATTTAATAAGCAAGTATTATATACCTGATCATAAAATAAAACCAGTTCCTGATGAGACAGCCCCATTATTCAGAGGCAGGACAGAAACAGAAAGGGAAGAACATCACATTCTTGTGATGTTTAACATTTTCCTGGGTTTCTACCTTGTGCAACCATCTTACTTTTTGAGACAATATATTATATTTGATTCCTCAAATGAGTCAAAAGCTTCATGATGACCTGGAAAAAAAATTGTGTGGAAGCTGTAAACTACTTCCTTTTTACCTTTTTTAAAACCATCAGGGTAATAAATAGACTGCAAGAAAAAAAGAGATAGAGGCACCAGGACATATATAATCCTATTCCAATAATAATATTTTTTTATGCGTAAAGGAACTAATATTGGTTTTGAGAGTTTTAAAGTAGTCATTGGATTATTTAAAATGTATAGTGTGCATTTCTGAATAATTTTTTCTCTACAGAAAAATGTACAAGAAATGTCAACATTAGTGTACAGCTGATCTTTATGGAGTATGTCTTTTTAAGTATAAGGGAAATATCTGTATATTTTAAAATTTTTTGTGTTTGTGAATAATTTAATAATCTTTCTCTTTTGGGGATTATAAAGGTTTGGCTTCTTTGCCAAATACAGGGAGGACAGAGAGAATGATGCTGACTTTATGCTAATGATTCAAATTGAGTCCTCAAACTGTCAGAATCGTTGTTTTGTCAGCACAACCTGCTTTGGATAAACAGGGAGAAGCCAGCCGGAAGATGACTGCCAGGGAGGTAAAAATGAAGAAAAATACAACTCAAGAATTTGAGATCAAAGTTATCTATCTTCTCCAGGGCTGTGCAGCAAATCCATCTCTGGGAAAGCATGAGAAGCTATCACCAGGTTGAACTTGCTGCTGCATGCCACAGCATGCATGGCTATGCCATGTATGTGCCCCTACAATATATACTCCACAGAGATTGCGATCTAAACTGGGTCTGTGGTTCCTTGAAGCTCAGGAGCCCTTGCAGATCCCTTTGTTTTTTGCATGGTCTGCTACATCCTGTCAGCTCCTTCTGTAAGTATGTTTGTCCACCTTCCTCTGCTTAGGTAGGGGTTGTCTCAGCAGTTGTGGCAGAAGTGGAGTTGGGAGGAGAAAGAGCAGCCAGGAAGGAGGAAATAGACTATTTTTTTAAGAGCCATGCAGGCAGACTGTGAACATGGAGAGTGAAAGGTTCTCTCTCTGGCTGGAAAGACAACAGGTAAAAGTGAGGAAAAACCAGAAACTTAGACCATTTACCTGCACCCACATGTCTGTCCAATCTTCAGGTAATATCATGTCACTCAGCTGTCAGCCTGGAGTCATGGAGCCATTTGATGTGCCCAAGTGTCAGTGGATTGTCAAAAAGCACAAGGAAGATGGGACTAAGCTGGCAATTATCACCCAGTGATGCTGAACACTGAACAAGTTTCTAATGACCTTCGTGCTCAAACTTTCACTGAAACCAGTCAATGTTTCTAATGCTTGTCTAAACTGGGTAAAGAAGCAAAGCACTGCTGCTTTGGGTTTTCTGATAAAACTACAGTGGCAGAGAAGGTTTTTGAATCTGACAGCCCTGAAACATCACATCAGCAATGTTCCTCCTCCCAGCTCTGTGCTCAGTGCTGTACCAGGGTGTCAATTCTTTCACTTTCCCATGGGCTGAACACTAGAGATGCCTATGGCTCTCTAACAGTGCATATCTATATGGAAAGAGCTAAACCTTCTTTGGTATTTTATATGTCATCCATATAATCATGCATTAGAGTTTTTACTTTTCAATGGGTCCTGGTTTTACAATAAGCCCCGTAGAGGGGGGGAAAGAGTTGGAATACTAAACTAAAGCATGAATAGGGTGCTTGAATAATGATCTGAGATCTGGTCTTTCACAGCATTCAAGGAAGCCATCCTTTTCTGCCTTGCATTATGTTGCTGAAATGCTGCTGCTAACCTGATACTATTTCTTGTCCATCTTGACTAAAAAGGTAGCATTTGATTTGGAAATAGTGCATTTTTTATTTTAAATGGAATAGAAAAAATTGATTTTAAGCCCTAATTGCATACATGTCAAATAACATGTCACATTTAAAAGCTGTTGTGGGAGCCAACTGGTGTAATTGTATATGGACAGTGTTATCTAATTTACCCTGCTTTGTATGATTTACTGGTATGTTTTGCTGTGGGTTGCATTATTTAGTTGTTTGATAATCTCTTTTCTTTCTGTTGTGATTTATGACATGGCATTTCTTCTTGTTTTATACCAGTGTTTTATTTTGTCAATCAAATTCTCTTTGTGCAATGGCTATATACAAAAAAGATAGCGGTGAACAGCCCATATAGTTAATCTAATGTTTACTTTAAACAGATTATTTATGGCAAAATATATCTCAGAAGAAACAGATTATTTATGGCAAAATATATCAGAAGAACCAATTTGCAAAGAAATGGTTGGTTATATGTAAAGAACAAATGCTGCAATCAGCACTCCATGGGTTTGCTTGTGTATGTGTTGTGGACCTGTACAGACGTCTAAATGATTAATGGACACAAAATGAAAACTCCTTTTTCCCCTTTTGAGGCTTTGTACTTTTCCCTTCTCTTTTTCTGATGGTGGAGTCATATCCTCTGTTTTTGCTGCATCACATCTCCTTATGTTTCTAGCCTTCTCTGTGGCCGAAGGAGTACATTCAGGGCCTGGCTGTTGTGTCTCCTTGATGGGGGTTGGAGAGGCCCCAGAGGATTTTGTCTGGTTTGGTGGTTGCTGTGTGTTCCTGAGGCACAGATGACAAGCAAAAAGAGGGTAGAATGCATCCTAAAGGCTTGAAGCTGTGTGCTAAAGAAGCTGTGTAAGGAAGCCAAAGACAAGATATAGAATACATTAACTCAACATCTCAACATGTAGTCCTCAATATCTACTACTGGGATGAGAATGTTAGTGCTCCATTTGATTGCTTTCTACACAATTATCAAAATTTGCAGTTCATAATATGCAATTTTACTAGCTCTTTACCAATCACTTACCGAGTTCTTTATTTATGAGAAGGAAATGCAAGAATTTACTGAAATTAAATGCACTTTAGACTTGTGAAACACATGGTTTTCCATGAACTTTCCACAAAATATAGCATACAAATACTATAATACAAAATTGAAAGAGCAATCTATCATTTAATGCTTAAAATAAATTTTCAATTATAGTCCTTTCCATCTTATTAGAAATAATTCTACTAATACAGGTACTCATTCAGAAAACCAAATTAAGTACTAAGCAGTTGAATGATGATGCACTGTAAATGCAAGCAGCCTTCTTAGATAGCTGCAGAGGACATGAAGTGTTAAATTAGTACTGCTCAGGTTTGTATCAGTATGAATTCATTACACTGTTCCCAGCAAAAGCAAAAATCAAATTGGCTTCTGAAGACTCAAATTCACACATTATATTAATTTACCAGTTTAAACTTTAGATCTTTGACCATGACCTCAGTTATTTACATATGATTTAGATATCATCATGGTATAATAAGGACTCTAGATGGTTACAAAGAAAACAAAAATAAATTGTATTTTGTGAGAGGGCGCAAACATGCCTGAAGTAGCTAAGGAAGGTGGAGCCTTTTTATTGACTTCAAAGAGAATGTAAAAGAGTGCAAGATTGAATGAAGTGTACTTATATCTTCAATACTTCTCACATATTTGTCATGGGGAAAAAGTGAATCTGTTTTTAGAAAGAAACCTTGCCCAAAAAAAAAGGGAGCATGAGAAAGTCCAGTCCCCACCCCAGCTGCGAATTGGTATTTCCAGGTTAAGTGACCAGAAGGCTTTATGGCCCTTCTCAGAATTAGAGGTTTACATGCTTTCTTTCTCTGTCTTTATCTCTACATTCACAGGCTCAGTAGATGCTAGGTATTTAAGGAAAAGATGATCATTTATTCACTTGAAAAAAGAAAACTTGATAGGTCCAGATGACTTTTTAAAATTTACAATGTAAACAAAAGCAAGACAGAAAATAAATAAATTCTTCACATCAAAGCTGCTGCTGAGAGTATCCTTATTTTTATAAAATATCTAGAAAGGGCATTTTTTAGTGGAATGAGAAGATAGGAGTGCTGGTTTAGATGGAGGAAATAAACAGGTACTGCCTTTTGTTATCTTTCCAACAAAATGCAAAAATTAAAAAAATTAACTGTGGAGGCAGTGTTCAGACTGTATATAAATCAAAGGCTTTCCTTTAATCCTTTACTAATCCCTTACTTATCTTGCCTACTGTACATGCATTGTTAAAAAAGATAGAGCAAAGACACACAGATATGCTAAAGGAGTTAAATTCCAGAATTTCAAATACAAAATGCAGAATATCCACCACTGAAAACATCTTTGATTTGACCCAGGCAGACTTAGTTTTCAAGATTAATAAAGCATTCTTATAGTAGTTAGCAGCTCACTTATTTTGGAATTATTTAATCACCTTTTCTTTTTTTAATTATGATAAATACAAAAGATTTGTAAAGATAAGGTATTATTCACCTTTGGGCTATACCAATGCACTAGATTCTCATTATAATTTAGGAATAAGTAACAGAAATGTAATTCAAATTTATTTATTTTTATGTGGATTTTATGAGAGAAATTGGCTGATATATTTTTCTTTTGCTAGAAAAACACTTCTAATATAAGAACAGAGGTTGTTCTCTAAGTAATATTTCAGTCCTTTTTTGAAACTTAGTTCAAGATGAAGGATGTTGAAAATATAAATTGCTAGCAATGACACTGCTTATATCTGAAGAACACACTACTCTTGGTGATAATGAATTTGACATTTGAGCTTCAGTGACCTGCAGCTTTTTCTTAAAGCATGCAATGCAATGCAATTGGAATTTTCAGTCTGCTGTGTTTCATACAATTCAAAAGAGATGTGCCTACAGAACTGAATCACAATTTTGCTTAGCTTAATCTTGTGGGTATTTTTATTTTATGAATTACCCCAGTCATCTTGATTTTACAATTGAAGAAGAAAACTTTTCCAGATATGACTTTTATAATCGAGTGTTGTTGATTCCACATCCTTTAGTGTATATTTTAATGGCTAAATGTGAAGGATTATCAAGTCATCAAGTAGAGAGTACACAGTATCTGTAACTGTATTATTTCATTCTAGATATTTCTCTGAAAACTCTATGCCACTGTTCATTGTGTGTATGATGGTGCTGCTGGAAGAGGTATGAAGCAAAGTTACAAAATAAACTAAAAAAAAAGCCCCAAAAAACCAAAAACCCCAACCAAAAGAACCACAACTCTTTAGAGACTGAATAAATAGTAAGAAGCATGTTTAATACGACTAATTTATAGATGAATGTGGTGCCAAGCTAGAATGCATTAACAAGGTAAGGCTGCAGGGCCTCTAGGTAAGATAATATATTGCTTTCATTAAAAAGCAATCTGCATGGACCATATCCACTAACACTGGAAACTCTGCAGCTGTCACCTTTATCAGGGGAACAAGAGCAAGCCACTACATTTTAATCACTGGAGTTTGTCAGGAACGAAAAACAGCCAGCTTCCCACAAATCAACAGACATGTATCCTGATAAGGAGAGTGAATTGGAAAAGGACAGCTACACCCCACACTACACCACCTATTCTGGAGTGATCAAAGCACTGTAATTGTAGCTGATAAATCTACTGAATTAGGGTCTGGGATAGAACACTCATCTTTTCACAAAACAAATGCAGGTTTACTTGAGTCATCTGTGACATATTTAATTTTTTAGTTTGAGTATTCCCAGTACCTGCCACAAAGGCAACAAGAAAGAAAAATAGGATGCCTGTATCCAAAATCTAGTGGCACTTTTCCCAGAATCTCTTTCCTGGTCATTAAACAGTAATTAATATCAGAAGTGCTGTTCCTTGGGTATTCTTTTGCATAACACTGACAATAAAATTAAACATGATTATTTATTAATACTTGAAGCTTTTGAATTTATCATATCTGATATGCTTGAGAGCAGATACTGCTTTTCTATGGGAAATAATTATTCTTCAAAGAGAAAGCACTAAGGAATTGAAAAGGACAATGCTTGGGAAAAGAAGAACCTGAAAACTTTTCTAGAAGACATATTATGAGAGTTTAACCTCAAATACAATCATAGCTATACGACAGTTTTATTTTAGCCACTGATAGCAGATGTTACCCCTGTAATTGATAATACAACAAGGAAATGTAATGAAAGAAGTATTAAAGAAAGGCTTCAATGGAAAATGTTTTTGTCCAAAGGAAATGAAACAATCTGCTTGTTTTTGGAGGGAAGACTGTAACTGTTTAAGGCAGGGAGGGACTGATAAACAAACAAAAAAAAAATAATATGAACAAACACTGTAACAGGAAATCACCTTTTTTAGGGAGAGTTATTTTGATTTCCAAGAGCTTGGGCATACTTATTAAAATCAGTTTAATGTGGCAGAGGAGTCTTTTAAAAAGGAGTTATTCTACTACTATGCATGCAAGGCTTAGATGCAAGGAGATATATTAATTTAATAGGATTTGCAGTTCTGAACTCCCCATCCTGTACAAAATTTGGTAGAACTGCCCTTTTCTTTGAGCTGGTATGATCCTTCCTGGCAGTCCAGATGAGAGGGCTTAGCTAAACAGTTTCTTACCATTTGTACATGAAGTCTGAGATCTTAATCAGCAGTGAGAGGGAAATAAAATAAACACTCTCTCAGTAGTAAGGTAGCAGTATCAGTACTAATCTTGAAAAGTACAATGCCCCAATGATCATTACTGCACACTTTTATTTGCTGCTCATGTTACATGTCTTCTTACTTATAGTATTTCAAAACTTTTCAGCATTCAGAAACTATTAAAAATAAATCAATTAAATGAGTGTTATTGGAGACCTCCAAGGAAGCTTCATGAGTGAGTCTCATGCTCTTGTTGCATATTTACCTGCAGTTGACAATCACCAAGTGTCAAAGCCACAGGTTTCAGACATTAAACTGAGTAAATGGCTGGAAAAGTTACTGTGAGGCTGTCCTGAGAGCTAAGTTTCAGAGGGGTCATCCTATGGTGTATTTTCCAGAGAATGTGAAGACATACATCAGATCTGCGGGAATTTAGGAGGCATGTGGAGGCAGGCACCAGCAGCTACAGACAGGTCACCATGGAGACTCCAGGAAGTGCCTGAGCAGTTGAGGGATATGCATCCAAGCTTCCATCAGAGGCCTTAGACATGGGCAGTCTGCCTTCCACAGGCTCTCTGACAAGGTAGGAGCTCTGTGGCTGTGGGTTTGCTGTTCCCGTGCCCCAGCAGGACGTGGCCACGCCAGTGCGATAAACCAGATTTCACAGGCCTGTCGGCCCTGTCACTGTGCTATCCATGAGAACAGCAAGGGCTGATTACAGCACTCACTGCCAGGCAGGTAGCTAAGAAAACCAGCCCCCGCCACTCTCTCTCTGTTCTTGTTCGCACTGAAAGCTGCGGTATCTAGGCATCACCCCCAGCACTCACATGAGTAGCAAGGGGTACACACACAAACACTTCTCCTGCACACTCAGCTGCACCGTGGAATTGATTAATGAACACGTGATTTTCCACGTTTTCACTGAGAGAGTTAAATAAGTAATTTCAATATCACAGACTTATAGATGTCTTCCTGTGACAGATAAGGGGATATAAGAATCTGTTGCAACGGGTGTACAAAGCTCACTAGACAGCAAAGATGCACCTATCTCTGTGTTTAATTCTATAACTGATTTCAAAGTATAAGAGAATGACATTGATGAACACTTCTGAAAAATAATAGGGAATTATGTTCACATTTGCTAAATTCTCCACGTTTATGTATGAGAGAGAAATGAGAAAATCCAAGCTGGATTTTTTTATATGCTTAAAACCTATTGGTTAGCTGAAAACCAGAAAACCAAACATCAAATCAATTTACTCTGATGTTTCACCCCTCAAAATCAATTATTTTTATCTCCTCTGCATTTCAACAGCCCTTCTAGATGTAAAATAATATCCAGAATGGCAAGAGAATCAAGGGTTTCTTTTTTACTATCATTTGCTTCTGGAATAAAAATTTGGGTCATCCATCATCTGGAGAGCTACTAAAATAAAATCACCAATATTCTGTCAACTTTATGAAGGAAGTCCCATTGTCTTTCTGTTTTCTTGTACTTTACAAGAGAAGATCTGAGTATTTCATGTTGATTGCTTGATTGGCTGCACTGGGACTCTTTAAAAATACTAAAAAAATCAACAGTCTGGTACAAATCAAACACAGGCTTCTATCAATCATGAGCCTAGGGTATTATCTGAGGTTTTTACCTAGAAACTTGTCATTAAAAGTTGCAGAAATTAATTGGTGCCATTGGCTGTAATGGTTTTCCTGACACAGCTTCTCAAATGTAAAGAAAAATTATGGATAAGCCAAATTCCTCATGGGATTTTTTTAGATGTCTGCTTTGTTCTGTTATTGTTTATTGCAAATGTTATTACTGTGATCTATTGCCCCATCATGCTTTGTCTATACTGCTTATACCATTCTGCATCCCACAATACAACTGAGGGCTTCTGTCACTGGCCAAGATAGCACTTATTTTTAAATTCTGTGTTTTATATATTCATATAATGATCTCAAGGCATTAATTTTGTGTGTTTAAAATTTCATACTTACACAGATCTTGTTCTGATTGAATAAATGTTGCCAATGATCTGCCTAGAAGAATTACGAATCTTGCCTCAGTGTGAGCTTCTGCTGCCGTTGGTAGCTGTACAAAGCTGCGGGAGTTACTAATTTATTTCAGTTGTCATGATTTGCATATCTGCAAAGCAGGTCTGTTAGATGACAGTTTTCACTCCCTTTTCAAAAAAATTATTACTTATTAGACTGGCTTTTTGATTACAAATCATTTTACCCCGCGACTTAACCTTGCAGAAAGGTAAATATTTTAGGAAAAGAAAACTAAGAAATGCAGCCTATGCCTTACAGCAGTGCAAAAATAGCAGCAAATTAATTCCTTCAAATTAGATTTGAGATTCAAGAAACATTGCATACTTAATACCAACAAGTCATTTTACCACCATCTCATCACTGAAGTAAGATTATACAATTACATGCATTTCCAATTATGCAATTATATTGCGTTTCCTGTTCTGGGGTTTGAGTGATCTGTTTATAGGTATTTGGAACTGTAAGTCTCTCTTAAAAAAAGAAGAAGAAACAAACAAATGAACAAACTGCTATGAATTAAACTTTGAAGTATATTTTTCTTCATTAAACCCTCTCACAATATTCTGTGTATAACTTACTGGACCTTTAGGTTAGCATGTGCAATGTTTTCTGTAAAATGCTAATAGGTTGTACATGGTACCCTCTGTCAACACAACCAAAACCCATCAAACATGGCAAAAAGGAAAACTCATTGCTATAGTACAATCTCAGCAATGTAGGGGTGTTTCTTCTTTCAGCCAAGGCTTCGGGCCAATTACACACACACGTGTGGGAAGTGATATAAAAGGATCAGTGTAATTAACCATCAGCACAGACTTCAGTCTGTAAAACAGTGATGTTTAGCCTGTCATTTTGCAGTTTTAATCTCTTTCTGCTGTGCACATTAGTAGCCTGTCTCCTGCCCATACGTTTTGATTCTACCTGGTGACGCAATGCCGCTACACTCACTAATTCTGGTAATGTCAGTGTGCGGCTTCCAAACACACGCTTTATCTCTTTGTCACTGTCAGTTTGGTTTTGATTGGAGAGTTTCAGAGCTGTGCTTACAGAGTATTTGAATTGATTATCCTGTGCTAAAGTTGTAAATCCTTGCAGAGCCCCAGCAAGAGTTCAGTGAAAACAGAAACAATGGGCTGCATGGTCTCATGGGATCAGTAACAGAAACACAGATTTTCTTTCATAAGCACTTTTTTGTTGTGTGCCTTCTCTTGCCACTGATAGCTTTATTCTACAAGATCAAGGTTTATGCAATGATATGTACCAAAGGGTAGTTTTTTTGTGACCTATTTTACATGTCATTATAATAGCATTGTCATAGTCAATCATCCCTATAGCAAAAACATGACCCTTTCTACTTGGACTTTTGCTATAATTTTCAGGAAAATAAGGTCTGAATTTTAATAGTTCTACAGTTATGGCTTTTCTTAAAAAGGTTGTTCCTGCAGGGCAGCATTGTTAGGCTGGAGATGTTGACAAGTACCATTCTGTGATTCTTGGATCAAGGGGAAAGGTTTTCTCTACCCTTCCTCCAGGATTGCCACTCTACCTTCTTTTTTCCTTCATGTTTATTGTTCCATCCTCATCTCTCCATTATGGGTCATACATCTCATATCATTTAATGATACGGCAGAACTGCTAAGAACAGCTGAGTTTGGTGTCATATCATGTCTTCAGAAGACCACATCAAAGGGGTCTAAGCTAGAGCTCCTAGTGACACTGTTCCCATTTGAAACTATTTATTTTGAAATTATTTATTTTATGACCACAAACACCACCATCCTTTTAGCTAAGTACTTGTGGAGCAACGTCTTTAAACACTAAAGCAGCCAGGGCACATGTATTTTTGCAGTGCCTGGAAGTTAAAGCAGTGCTTAAGTCAAGAGATCTTGCCTGCTCTTGTCTGATCACCTTCCAACTTCTTGTGATGTTTTAGGTGCTCATGAGTATGATACAGAAGCCATTTAGTGAAGGTGTCACACAGCATGTCAAGTGATACGACGTTTACGGCAAAAGCTGTAAGTAGGCAACATGAACTTTTATTTTAAATCAACTAAATTAACTATTATCACAAAATTTAGACTACCTATTATTTTGAAGAACTGTAATCTATTCTTTAAAATCTCACAAAAAAACCTACATTTGTTTGATTATTTTCAACATTCAGTTCAATTCTCTAATTCACACTTAGAAATCTAAAATTATGTCTGAGGTCTCATAATCACTGTGTGTCTTTGTACCAAAAATAGAAATGAGTTGCCTGTCAGGTGCCTTACTCATACTTGTTTAATTTCATTGAAAGAAGAGTGCTTGGACAGTATTCTGTTGCTTCTTTCTCATTCAGATAAACTTGTAAAAAAGTACTCAGAAGCAATGTGTCAGAAAATTTCTGAGTGTCTATGGAGAACTCCCTGTATCTAGCACATTCCCCTAGCTGCCAGGTCCCAAGATGAGACCCTGAGATGTGAGGAGTAGTCCAGAATGGTGAACAGTTTTCTCCTTCAGTGATTTCTACCATTCCACATTACCTTCCTGTACCTTACAGGATAAGGAAGCAGGATGCCTTTACTCAGCTGTCATTTCCCCTGGCAGCTGGTCAAGGGATTTATAACATGGATACAAGGACACCAGCTTGCTGAAGCTCAGCCATTTCCTCTGCTTCCCACTAGCTTCCAGTAGTAGTACAACAGGTCTCAGACCAGTTTTTCCTAATTATACCCCGTGCACTGCTCTTCTGACAGTCACCCTTACAAAAAACAGCTATAAAAATCATCTTGTCAATGTGCTCTGGGAGTGGAGTTAGGTTTTCTTAGAGAATATGATTCTGATTTATTGAACCTGGTGATCAATTGACAAAGTCAACAGAGGGAAACCTTTATTTTTATCTGGTCACTCATGTAGCCAGGCTACAAGCCTCTGTGTGAAGGCCCTGCAGCACATGTGGAAAAGGGCTGTGGTGGTTCCACACACAGAGGGGACTGGAGAGGACTTTTCTCCTACTGTGGTGTAGTTGTGCTGTTCCCAGAGTGTAGTCAGGTTCTCTTAAAGCCCCAGATCAACAGGATCCAGACCTGACCATTTTTCAGAAATGAGCATGGGTTTGATCCTTAGTTTGTATGAACTGGCACAGCTGTGACTTGCTTTAGTAGGGAATGTAGTGGCAAAACACTTCTTACCAAGGAAAGCAAGGAAAAAAGAGACATGGACCATTAAAAATACATTTATAATAGAGTTTTGTATATGTTCTGCAGGCTTGTCTTTAATCTTTGAAATTTGCATAATTTGCTGTCTCTGAGACAGAACATTAAGTGTTTTTGATATATTTTCAAAGGTCAGGCACAAAGTCATGCTGCTTTAGCTGTTTGTGCTTTTTTGATGTTTGTACCATCATGCAGACCTGATAAGTAGATGAATGACCATGATAAATGTGCATAATGAGAAAGTGATAAGAATTGCAGCATCTGACATGAGTTATGTCTCTGTTGTCCAGAAATGGAGATGCTCTACTTTTATCTTTGCTCTCTAATTTCTTAATTAGGAAGAAAGGAAATTTTCCACCCAGTGCATATATATTTGGCAAGGATGCTGTGTAATAACAAGATATGTCAGCCAATAACCTTACTATAGATACTGTACTCTTTTTGCTTAAAAATACCTCTCCTTCTCGTAGATCAGGAGACAGAGGAGCAAGGTTTATGCAGTGATATATATACAAAAAAATTCTAGACATAAAAAAAAAGAAAAAAAATAAAAACAGGTTAAGGCCCAATCCAGCAAGTGTTCATTTTCTCACATATAAGGTCTGATTCAAGTTTCTGAGATTAGTTTTATGAGTAATGACACACAGATGTATTTTGAAAAACCTAGCTATTGAGAGATCCTAACCTGAGTTGCCCATAAAGTCTGGATCCTGGAAGCCTTATAAGGGCAAAAATCCCTTTAATGAGATTTCTCCAATTGATAGGCCTCTTTAGAAAAACAACCAAAATGTAGCCATTGAAATAGTCCTCTAAAATTGAGACACTGCATGTTGTTGGAGAATTAGATCTGTGGAATTTTAAAGAAATGCAGTCTGTGTACAAGGACCTTAACTTTGCAGAAATGAACAGAGTGGTCTGAATTAATTTATTCCTGGGATGCTTTCAAGCCAGTGATTGTTTGTTGTCTTTGTCTCTTCTAGGCAAAGATTTGCACACTTGCATGTGTTTTCATGCCAAGCACTTCCACATTTGTGGAAGCAGAGCTTAATGGATTGGAGCTACTTCTCTCAAAGTGAGTGGCAAAACTGTTCTCTTGAGTGTGAGGAAGATAAGATTAACAGCAATAAAGCTATACCAAGCTAAGAAATTCTACATGCTGTGAGCTGCAATACTGTATTGATTTCAAAACTGTGGAGAAGGAAATTAAAATTAATCTCTTCTGATTAGATACTGCACAGTTGTTTTAATATAGTATTCCATTCTGCTATTTAATTATTTGCATTACTTTTCTGTAATAATATGAAATTACTTGTGCTTAAAAGCTATCATGAATATTTGAAAGCAACTATCTGATGCAACTGCAAAAGCATATAGTGCATATGTTTTTGTTTTGCTTGCATCAAAAGCCAAAGTTTATAAAATATCAGCAATACTACATGTAACAAAGAGGAGAGAAACACTTTGTGGAGGGTGTTTATTTAGATTTCTTGGTTTCCTTTCAAGACAAGATTTGTTTACTAGAGGCATTACAATTTAGTGAGACAAATTAGGCTAAACTTTTTATCTCTGGTGGTTTGCACATGCACTGATTAAACTAGTATTTCTTCTAAAGATTGCCTAGGAAGATAAATGAACAAGAGGAGCAATTAGAGTAAGGAAAAACTAAAGATTGGCTGACATGATTTAAGTTTACCTCTAAGGCAGTTTGTCATTTTGTCTCTATAATCTCTATCAGAATTGACTAAAACCGTAAACATAAATCATTATACTAATTTATTTCACCACACTGTGGTTTGGGAGAAGATTTCATTTTTTTCAAAAGACTTTTGGGGATTCAAACATTTTCAGAA